GAATATGCCTGTCAATGAGTGACTGTAAGTTCTGAACTTGTTTGCGGATCATACCTTTTGTTATTACCTCTGAAATAATGCTCGTTATTACAATGCTTCGCAGTTCATCCTGAATCTTGGAATCCAATGTGGTCTGTTGCAAGGTACGCACATACCGATAACTGGCTACATGGTTGTAATGTATTTTTTGAAGCTATAGTGTACAATTTTTCTGCTACTGTACAATGTACAGACTCTAATTTCTGCTAGTCAAATCACTACTTTGTGGTAATCCGCAATCATTTCAACTTCTGTTGCCATGAGATGGGACAACTGAAACTGATAGGCTAGCCTTAGGACGTTGATGACAATGTGGACTTATGGTATGGTTTAGATTAGACTTTGGAACGGTTTGGATTTTGTTTTGCATGTGGATTTGTGGATTTCTTAATGGACTATGTTATAATGATGGACTTCATAATAGACTATGTTGCAATGATAGACTTTATAGTGCATAATTATGACTTGTGATGATGTTCTAAATAATGGTCTTGTATTTGTGGATGTATATATGTATATTTGTGACGGTCAGATTCGAATTTGAATTATATATATATGCGGTCATATTTGAATTTGAATTATTTATTTATTTTTGTTGAAAAATCCACTATAGGGGCGGTTTTTGATTGAATCGCCCTTACAAATACACACAGCAGGGGCGGCTGGTGATACACCTGCCCTTACAGAAGTCCACTACAGGGGCGGCTGATATTACCAGCCGCCCCTACATAGGGCACTGTAGGGGCGGCTGAAAACACCAGCCGCTCCTACAGAGGGCACTGTAGGGGCGGCTGAAAACACCAGCCGCCCCTACAGAGGGCACTGCAGGGGCGGTCAGGAAACCGCCCCTACAGAGGCACCCTCTGTAGGAACACCCTTGGAAGAGCGGCTGGTGCAGCCGCCCCTACAGAGCCTCTAGAGCCGCCCCTACAGTTAAATTCTGTAGTAGTGATTCAGTGCATGAATCTAGGCAAATAACTGAAAAATGAGGTGCTCTTGAAATCTTCAATGCTCATCCGGGTTACAATTGAGCGAGAGCCAGGACGCATCACACAGTCTGGCAAAAGGTGCTCTTGAAATCTCCAATGATCATCCCGGTACAGACGAGTGAGAGCCAGGACATGCTGCAAATGGCGATGGGCCTTTTCAGAGCATGGACAGCTATGTGTGAGTTCAGCACAAACTTAATGATAGGCTTGCCAGAGTCAATATCGTCTAGTTTTTTTTATCACATGCATGTACAGAGTACGGTTGATATTAACAAGGCTAACCATACTCTCAGGTTTCACCTAGATTGTATCACAACCAATAGTTGCAGATAAGCTTCAGCATACCATTTGGCAGAAACAAAATTGACGTCATCATTGAAATAAGTAAATTATCATATCATTCTCACAACAATGTCTAAATATCTATATTAATTTGAAGAAATATAAAAATATATGTCTACATCAGTTAATCGTTTACTCATGAATTCAAACTATTCATTATGTAAAGAACCTATGTCAAACCTTGCGCAAATAACTAACAGGGAAAATAACAGAGTCACCACATTTACTAATGGTCAGCATAGTCTGACAATTTTGCAATGGCACTCGGCAGTTGAATACCATATTTTTCAAGAATTTAGCAAGCAGAATGGCATAATGTTCCAAATTATATGTGGTAGAGTGAGATTATACACCTGAATCATAGCAATGGTAAGCGGATCTGTTAAACAGAAAATTTAGAGGGCTATATACAGTCGACATTGGCATCCAATTGCACATACAGTGACCTATATATTATCATTTGAGGAAAAAAGAAGAAGAAGAAAAATGCATAGCATACCTGAGGTGGAGGGGACGTTGGTGCAGGGGCCATGCAAAGGAGATGGCCGGACGCTAGGTCCATGCTCGGCAGCAGGTATGTGAGGGCGAGGTGACCTGGAGGAGGCAGGGCGGCGGTGTGTCGCCCGCCGCTGCTCAGGGTGGCGCGAGGAGATGGCGGAACGCTGGTTCGGTGCTCATGGTGGCCGCGTGAGGGCGAGGTGATCTGGAGGAGGCAAGCCGACGACGAGGGGTCGCTTACCGCCTGCTTGGTGCTGGGGCGCAAGGGAGATGGCCTTACACTGGGTGGGTGATCTACGGTGGTGGCGTGAGGGCGAGGCGAGCTGGAGGAGGGGTCGACGTCGCAGGCCCAGGCGGCGATGGCGAGGAGGCTGAGGATTTGAGGGATAGAGCCGGTCACGCCAGGCCGGATCAAGCACGGTATCGATGGGTCCTTGCTGTCATTGGGCCGATGAATCACGAGGAGGAGGAGATCGCGAGGAGGTGGAGGCGGCGTCGTCGCACGAGGCGGAGTACAGTGACCTGTATATTATCATTTGAGGAAAAAAGAAGAAGAAAAAGGCATAGCATACCTGAGGTGGAGGGGACGTTGGTGCAGGGGCCATGCAAAGGAGATGGCCGGACGTTAGGTCGATGCTCGGCGGCAGGTATGTGAGGGCGAGGTGACTGGAGGAGGAGGCGGCGGCTGTGTCGCACCGCCGCCATTTGTGGGTGGGTATGAGGAGATGACGGAACGCTGGTTCGGTGCTCCGTGGCGGCCGCGTGAGGACGAGGTGATCTCTGGAGGAGGCAAGCCGACGGCGGGGTCACACTGCCGCTAGTGCAGGGGCGCGCAAGGGAGATGGCCTTACACTAGGTGGGTGATCTACGGTGGCGGCGTGAGGGTGAGGCGAGTTGGAGGAGGGGTCGACGTCGCTGCCCAGGCGGCGATGGCGAGGAGGCTGGGGATTTGAGGGATAGAGCCGGTCACGCCAGGCCGGATCAAGCACGGTATCGATGGGTCCTTGCTGCCGTTGGGTCGATGAATCGCGAGGAGGTGGAGGCGGCGGCGTCGCACGAGGCGGAGTACAGTGACCTGTATATTATCATTTGAGGGAAAAAGAAGAAGAAGAAAAAGGCATAGCATACATGAGGTGGAGGGGACGTTGGTGCAAGGGCCATGCAAAGGAGATGGCTGGACGCTAGGTCGATGCTCGGCGACAGGTATGTGAGGGCGAGGTGACCTGGAGAAGGCAGGGTCGGCTGTGTCGCACTGCCGTTGCTCCAGGGGCGGCGCGAGGGAGATGGTGGAACGCTGGTTCGGTGCTCCGCGGTGGCCGCATGAGGGCGAGGTGATCTGGAGGAGGCAAGCCAACGACGGGGTCGCACTGCCGCTGGTGCAGGGGCGCGCAAGGGAGATGGCCTTACACTGGGTGGGTGATCTACGGTGGCGGCGTGAGGGCGAGGCGAGCTGGAGTAGGGGTCAACGTCGCAGGCCCAGGCGGCAATGGCAAGGATGCTGGGGCTTTGAGGGATAGAGCCGGTCACGCCAGGCCGGATCAAGCACGGTATCGATGAGTCCTTGCTGCTGTTGGGCCGATGAATCGCGAGGAGGAGGAGATCGCGAGGAGGTGGAGGCGGCGGCGGTGCACGAGGCGGAGGAGGCGGTGTCACTGAGGAGGAGGAGACCGTGAGAGGGATTGTTGTTTTCGTGTCTATGGTGCTGGCGATCGCGGTGGAAGCAGGCGGGCAACGCAGGGATGGCGATTTCCTTTATTACCGTGCAGGGATCGTAGGTGGAGTTGGACGAGGTGAGGTGAAATTTTGTCGCACGACCTATCGTCCTGCTAGGTAGATGTTGACCGTAGGAATTTTTTAGTTGTAGAGATTTACACTATTTTTACCTTCACTTTGCATCGATTCTACTTTCGGCATTTCAGCCTAAACACTATAGGATTAATAAAATTGCTAACCGGGACAAACCAGAAAATAAGAAATAAGATGAGTGGAATCACCGGCCCTGTTCGCTGGTTGGTGCTGATACTAGTTTGGACTGACTGGTGCTGATTTTTTGAGAGAAAAACACTGTTGGCCGGAAGCGAACAGCTGACCATCTCATTCTTTCGGTATCAGTATGCTGCTTGTTTTGCTTTTTTTTCTACCGTGGATAAATGCGGACGCAATATAATATACAACGATGTAGCCGTGTAGGGGTGTAGTACACTGACACTCGTAGCACTGGTACTGGGCTGGAGACCTGCAACAGACCAAAGCCATGTTTAGCTCTCCTATTTTTTAGAATTTGACACTATGCAAAAAAAAAAAAAAGATTTTTCGTTCCATCAAACTTGTGATACATGTATGGAGTACTAAATGTTGACGAAATCAAAAACTAATTGTACAATTTGATTGTACTTTGCGAGACGAATATTTTGAACCTAATTAGTCAACAATTGGACAATTATTAATAAATAAAAACAAAAGAACATTGTAGGCGTCCGAACTAGACGCGGCCTTGAACCAATGCACGGGCCACTGTGTTTACCATTGTACCCCTGCTTATTGCTTTTCCCACCACCCTGCACAGTCCACAGTCCACACACAAGCAAGCGCTCAGCCGCGCTCCCTTCCCTCCCTCCCTCCCTCCCTGCCTCTACTCTCTATCCAACCTGTGCATGCTGCATTCCCGTTCCCGTTCCGGTAAGTGGGACCCGTCGAGCGGTCGATTCAACGGAGGGCTAAGGACGCGTTTAGTTGGCGAAAATTTTTGGTGTTGGCTACGGTAGCACTTTCGTTTTTATTTGACAATTAATATTTAATTATGGACTAATTAAGTTTGAAAGTTTCGTCTCATGATTTCTCACCTAACTATACAATTAGTTTTTTTTTATCTATATTTAATACTCTATATATGCATGTGTCGCAAGATTCGATGTGACACTTTGATACGAAAATTTTTAGTAACTAAACCGGACCTAAGACCCCGAACTCGAGGAAGCGCCGTAGAGTCTACAGGACAGGAGTAGTAGTGGAGTACAACGCCAAGAAGAAGCTAGAAGCGCGCAGGCCGCAGAGACACCACCACCGTCCACCGCATCTTGCTCGCGTCGGAAAGGCAGGGGTTTTAGCTAGGTCGCTCACGCGCGCTCGCCCATGGTGGCCGCCGCCGCCGCCGCCGCCGCCGGCGACGGTAAGGTGGCGCGCGCGACTACGACCAGCTCGCCGGCATAGGAGCAGGACGAGGGCGTACGGCCAGCCAGCTTCATCCCTGGCCGGCCGGCCAACGTGCGACGAACGGCGATCGACAGCTGGCTTCGACTCTCCTCTCCTCTCCAGTTCTCCCTCCCCGCCCCGACACTGCACGTCCTCCGGCAGCATCCACGACGACGATCGACGATTGATCTAGTTGCTCTGTTCGATTCGAACCCCCTCTCGCCGCCCACGCTCTGTGCAGGTTCGTCTCTCTCTAGCTCTGTAGGCTCGCCAACCCTCTCTGCAGTTTCATCTCTCTCTAGTTGTGATGTAGCCTCTTTCGTTGTCTATCAATCTGTCTGCATGGAACTGTGTTGGGGTTTTGTAGCAAGATCTGATTAAGCCGTTGTAATTGTTGAAAGCATGTCTTTTTAGTACTGTCAGTGTAGGAGTAGTGTTTATGACCAATTCGTTTCAGAAAAGGTAGTCTTTTTTTCATGCATACAGATCTTTATATTTCTTTCTCTGTATGCAAAGCCAAATGCTTAATTAGATTTGGTGGGGAACTGAGGATATCAAAGCATCAGTCTTGTTTACCCAACGTTATTTGTGTCAACAAAGTCCCAATTTTTCTTGTTAGGTGTGCAGAGTAGTATACTGCTACACGACCGAAGACGAGCAACATACTGAGATATGGCACCAAACAAAGGAAAGCAGAAAGTTGAAGAGGTTGACACAGGGATCCTAGATGTAAGTGTAAACCTCAAACCAAAAAATGTTCTGCATTTATAGGCTTTGCCTTTGGTTTTATCCATTTTCAGTGTTGTCTCCTCATATGTAGTTCAATGCTCTACACAGGACATCCCTACTCCAATCACGACTTTTGATATGAGAAAGCCAAAAAAGTTTGCTAAAAGATATAAGAAGTGTGTTGAAGACATTCGTGCACCTATGGACAAAGACACCACTGTGAAATTTACTTTTGTCATGGCTGGAGGAAATGAAGTGGTTGTCCCTGTGACTCCTGATGATAAAACAAGGCAGGGAACTTATGTCATTAGACTTATAGATGGTACTAAAAATCTTGATCTAGTGGCTGATAAGTACCAGAGCTGGTTTAGAGGGATAGTCACTAGTGGCGGGCAAATATATGAGGTAGATGAGAAGCTACCTAAGATCATGAAGAAGTCTATGTCACTTTATACTAGTGGAATTTACCCCAAGTTAATCGATTGTGATCTACCCGATCTAGAAGTGAGCAATTTCTCAATGCATTTCACACCTTAGCTGGATATAGAGGGGATGTGAAAGACAGCAAGCAGGTGAAGGAGGCAATCGCCATTCTCCTTATCATATTCTTCGAAGGCCCTCGGTTTCTTCCCGTGGAAGAGTGGATGGAGGATTTGTTGCGTTGGTGTTCCTCCGGAAAGGTTGGTAAGATATTTGAGAAGTTGATCAGTGATTGGTGTGACGACAGCATGAAATTCTATAAAGGTGTGGCAGGTGCAAGAAAGGTGGTTATCTCAGACGATGCTTCTGATGTGGTACGCAATGCTGCAGGAGTTCTTCGCATCATGTGTCGATCTAAATGGGAAAAGTGGGTAGAAGACCACCAGATTAAGGAGCAAGAAGGCCGAGGTCAAGCTGGTTCAAAAGAGAGGAGCAAAGGCTATATTACCCGAGTGATTGGCTATTGTGCACGTGTGTCACATACTTCTTTGTAAAACTAGCCATGCCCCCTTTGCAAATGACATCTTTTTTGTGGTTAAGAATGGTGTCTTTATTTATGTGATTCATGTAGCTATAGGCGAGAACATCTTTTATTTTGAGGGGATTCGAGTATGCGGTCTTTATCGCCCTATTTGTTTGACTTATAAGTCGTACTTTTTCAGTCAACGAACAGTATTTTTCTCTCATAATAAATCAGCCAACAGTACTTTCAGCCATGGCTTATCAGCCAAGCGAAGAGGACAATATTTCTCTCATAGCATGTACTCCCTCTGTCCTGTAATATAGTGTATTCTAGGAATTTTAAATTAAGAGAGAACATACAAGACGCATGTACCCTCATTTTATTTTCTAATAAGACGCTATTATCAATATGATTAATGATGATTGATTGATAAATGGAAAGTATTTAATATAAAATTGGTTTTTATCCTCTAGAATGTATTGTATTTTAGGATAAATTTTGAATGCAGAATGCACTGTATTACAGGACGAAGGGAATAATCAAGAACATTTTTGTTTGGTATAATGGAATCTTTTGTGTTAGAATATTAGCATGCTGACAGATAGATATCTGTCCACACCACATACGCGCTTGTTGTGCACACAAGCAGGTTGATATGTTTCACTTATTACAAACTTATCGTGCGTTCGAAGCTATCACAGCTTTAGAATGCAAAGGGACATGGGTACATTGTTATATCGTCATGGCCGTTAGCATGTCTCGTATTTACGTTCTAGCATATCATACATGAAAAAAAAACACCAAAGTGTAATACTTCAGGATATCATAAATACATGTAAACAATACACAAGCATACGGTTGAGTATGTCACTGCACAAATTGTTAACCAAATGCTACTAAATTCTATAGATTTGATTTGAGGAAACCACTGAACATCATGCAAATGTATAGGAAGTGCCAATAAATAACTTGATTCATAAACCACATCACATAGACATAAATAAAAGACAAAATAAAATTGAAGGGCTGGAATAGCCATAACATTAGGGCTATTATAAGTCTATCTTGCCAAGAGTTAAAACAACTCGGTAGTAATACATGGAAGAAAGCTCTACATAAATGGCCACACAAGTAAATGCAACTTCCACTAGTCCTTCAAGACTCTTCGTGTGTCTTCTACAGCTTTCCAGGTGACCTTCACTGAAATTGTCGTGAAATCATCAAGATTCACCTCTTTATCCACTGTTCCATGATAACAAGCATTAAATCTGCATGTCCACTCTTCATTGGACAGGTGACTGTTATCTATTAATGACCAAGTAATATGAAGATCAAGGTGACTACGACGCATCACCGCTACAACTGAACTAAATCTGCACCCAGCTTCTGTAACACCTTCAAAAAGACGGATCACATCACTAAAGCCACTGGTCTTGGCGTATAACTTCAGATCAAAGCCACAGGCAGGAGCACGTAGGATCTCAACATCAACTGTTGCTTGAACAGCAATGTTCAGAACTACAAACTTCACATCCAATGCACACTTCTCCCCATACAGACGGCCAGTTTTCACAAATGATTCTGTTCCAAACATGTTGCTGATCTCAGTACACCCTTTGATCAAAACGTCACCTTTTGGTTCATCTTCAGATGGATCTTCAGTTCGGATACAAAGCTCGAATTCGAACAATGCATGGCTTGAGATGCAAATACCTCGAGCAGGGCTAGCCAATGATAAGCGTGCCATACCCTGTAATCAGGAACCACAAGAACACTACATCATATTTTGAGTTATTCATCAATAACTAGAAAATGAACACATAAACATCGCACATGCACTATACTACCACTACAATCAAGTGTTCCCTCTACAATGACGATGTGACTTGCACCTTTAGGCTTGTTAAACGCAGTTTTAAGTTATTGTAACATGGTTCGAGTCGCGGTCTCCTCGCATTGCACAGGCGAGGGTAAGGCTTGCCACTGACACCCTTCCCCAGACCCCGCACAGAGCGGGAGCTCTCTGCACTGGGTACGCCCTTTTTTATGGATTCAGACATTACAACTTGCAAATAATGACTAAATGTGGAGATGTCCAATAAAAAGCAGCTTTTATATGGTATTTTCAAGTGAAAAATAAGCATTTAGGTAAAAACAAATTACCGTCTTTCGCTTCACAGACACTGCTTCATAATTGTCAATCCCACGTCTGTAGACATAGTTGCGTAAAGGTTCAATCTTATCCCGGGTTGCAAAAAAACCAAAGATTTTGGCATGCCCAGGCTGGGTGTGGCGATAGCCAGCGATTTTAATATCAATTAATTGCAGCAAATCTGTAGCATTGCAGTGACAATGTTCTAAGCAATCAATGGTCTGGGCATTGTTTAAACTGACTACACATATACAAATAAATAGAGCGTAAGAAATTTTTGGAGATTTGCAATTTATTAAAAGATGATGTCATAAATGAAAACAACTGGGATGGAATTAATTAAAAGAAAGCACCTACTTTCAGATTCATCATAGAGTCGATACAGACTACCAAACCAATGGCGGCCTTTTGTGACGCCAACAGGATAATCTTTGAATGCACAGAAAAGGCTGAGTGGTGGAGGGCCTCGAAGATGAATCCCTGGATATCTGTATATTGTATCAGTCTGCTCAAAATGGTCACTGCTAAACCTTGGAAAATTGTCGACTGTAAAAGGGCCCATCCCTACATCCAAAATTGTTGAAACAATCAAATCAACCGAATAAAAATCAGGATGTTTAAGTTCAACTCCAGCCAACTCTCATTAACGCTGAAGCTAAAATTAGATTATTAAGTGATGACAGAAAAAGGCTAGCAAAGAAATAAATGGGTACTCGGCGAACATAGAAGATTATGCATTTTCTCCTTTTCAGGCCGGAACTATTGCCAATAGACTGAAATCAAATCACATGTTCATATCTAGTATGATAAACAGACAAGAACTATTTCCAGCACAGAAAAGTATCACATTCTAGGTGTTCTTCCTTGCAGTGTCACCCAATCAAGGAGCACCAACCATAGTTTACAATCCACCAAACCATAGTTTATAATCCAGGTACTACAAAAACAAAACACAAAGTAAAGGGCTAACCAAAAATATTTGAATATTATTCGTGCAGCATTTCAGTATGGATAAATCACAGCCCACAGAAAACGTCAAAAAAATAACAAATCAAAGCACCGAGAGAATATGTTACTCTTTCTTGAGTGATAGTAGAATGATACTGTATCTTCTATAACTAAATAGGAGATCCCCACTACAGTATTTCTCTCGCTTCTCATGCTACCACGTCATCAGAAATCCAGCACATGTCTTCATACTTCCTTACCTTCACTACGTGGCCACTATAGAAAGTGGAGGATCTGAGTTGTCGTTCTGTTTCATGCAGCCCTCTGAAGCATACAAATTAATCTCCACCAAGCAAGCATTAATTTGATGCAATATTGCAATGTGTGCCTGTGGGCATACGAAGGATCATGGTGCTGCTCGTGCTCCTCTACATGTATATCGATGATGACCCTGGTGGCCTGATGCTGAAAAAGCTCCACGTCCGAGACCTGGAGTCACGGAGGCATGATCCACATGCCACCCCTGGCGCCCGCCGTGCATACCAGCAAAGGGCAACAGATGCATGGAGCACACCATCATCGTACAGCAGCTGAGCGGCGAGCATGATCAGGTAAGCGGGTTATTTTCAATTTTTTATTGCTTAATTGTTTATTGTTTAAATTTTTTGTTCAACGAGCACCCAGCATGAACTTAATTTTTTCATCACACCTTTTGTACTATCTGTTTCATTAGCTAATTATTGACTCACCCTATCTCAATTTTATTTGATCGTCCGCTGCACCGTGTGGGGGCATACAAAGGATCATTGTTTGGCCTTTCTTTTATCTATCTATTTATTTATGGCTTTGTTCTCCACCAGCGGTGACTATACTGATGCTTCATGTCTCATTTTTTCTGGTTAGGAGAGACACTAGAATTTGTTGCCAAGCCCAACAATGAAATGCATGTTCCTCATTCTCCTGAAAGGATTTTTATTTATTTTCCATGTCGCGTGAATTAAGATAGGTTCTTTATGTTTTTCACTTGAATGTCCTGTAAAACACATGCTGGCTTCGCATGATGTAAATCATTTCATCAATCTTAGTTTCAAATTTTATTGTAGCCAAGATGCTTGGGCTGCCCAATCTATATAATAATTAAAATTTTCTTTTGTTTGCCCAAGCCTATTGATTTCATATTATGCTTCTTATGTACGATAATTTTCTCCTACATATAACACAACAATATCCCGCAGCAACGCGCAGGGTATTATCTTAGTTCATTTAGGTAGATCTATCCGATTGAAAAAGAAAAGAAAATTAAAGCAGGGCTCTGGCTGTACCTTGATCGTCCTCCTCGTCGTTTTCTTCTTCTTCTTCCTCCTGCTCCTCGTCGCTGAACTCCCAGCAGTCGTCGTCGCTGCTGGACATCGACGAGTCCTCCCCGTCGTCGCTCCGCGAAGATGCCGGGGACGGCGGCCTCTTCTTGCCGCGGCCGGGAATAGTGGCCTCCTTCAGTTTATCTCCGCCTGCTTCAGTCTCCATCGCGCGCTAGCCGCAAGCGTTGGCAAGCCACGTTGTTGGGTGCCGCTGCCAGAGACGACTGATAGGATGGGGTTAGGGTTGGGGTTAGGACTCAGGGGATGGCGGGTCTACGGGTGACGTTGCCGGTGACGGTGCCGGCGGAGATACGGCAGTGGAATCGACCGACCGCGGTAGAGCTGCGAGGAGACGGTGGAGGCAGGGCTGCGCGCGGGACTCGCCGGCGGCGTGAATCCGACTATCCGAGAAGAGGAGAGGGGTGGAGCAGTGGAGGGGAAGAGTGCCGCCTGCCGCGGCCTACCTCTCTGCGCTTTGTGTTGCTGCAGAAGAAGGAACTGCGGCACGGATTGGGCCTTCTTGGACCGTGTCACGTCACATACTGGGCCTTGGGCAGTGGAAGATGTATCGACTAGGATGAAGCGCCGCAGCCCGGTTTCGGCTCGTAGTGGCCCAAAACTTCTTTTTCTTGTTTCAACCCCAAATCTAATGTTTCAAATATATTTTTATAATCGTCCTGATGCTAGAAATTTATTAGTGGAATCCATTACACGTATTGGCACATTTTTGCTGTCAATAGAGTGATAGGGAGCAGGCGAGCGGATGGGTTCGATGTATTCTAGAGTGCTCCACAGACTCTGCTTCATAAACTTCACTATGGAGCAGCTCTATAAAAACCTGGAGTTTGTAGAATATTTCTTTACTCCACACTTTTTTCTCAAACAGAGTGTGTAGAGCTGAAATCGTTTAGCTAAAAAACATGAAGCGGAGCTGAAAAACGTGGAGTGGAGCTAAACACCCTTAAACACTGAGAAGATCTGGTGGGTAGGGAGCTGTGATATTGCTCGGTCCTCACTTCTCTGAAAAATTATGATTTGAGATAGTTGATTGAAACAACAAATATACTCCGTTTGTAGATAATAAAGACATGATTTGAGGCGGGCCAATCCCGTGGGTTAGTTAAGATTTTATTTTATTATTATCCTTTCACCAAGGATTAGGAAATGTACCGATCTTTTATAGTTGCAGCGACTGGTTCGTCCAAGATTTGGTACTGAAAACCGACTTTCCATTTGACCGGCTTCGAATTGCTATTAAATTGTTGGGATATTTGGATGCTCATAACTTTAATGGCATGGGGACGAAACTTACTTATCATAAGAGCAAAATTTTCAATTTTCTTTTGGAGTGGACCAGACAGAGAAAAACCATCAGACAAGAACGACGGTTGAGTTTGTGTAACAGAAATGGGGAGGCGCTTGCGTAGTGACCTGTAGTTATGGACATCTTGGATGACGTGGCTTCACAGAATAGTCGCGATGACTAGTTGTTGGATTAGTCTATTGGCAACTAGGATCGACTATATCTCTCATCTCTCGCAACTAAAAAACTAAAGGGAGGATACTTTTTTCGTGCGACAATTGACGTCGGGTCGTCGATCTGCCTTGCGATACCGCAATTCCACCCCGCCTTTCGCTCGCTCCCCCGCTTCCCCTTCGCACCCCGCATGCCGCATCCTCTCCCCGCCCCCGCAATCAGCGCTCCGCAAAAAGGAAGCCCCGTCTCCGTCTCCGAGCGCCGCCGTCGCCCTCGAGCCTCACTCGTACGTCACCCCGTTGTCACCCCCACCCCCACTCCATCTCTGATCCACACCAGTGCCCAGGAGTCAACGTGCTCAAGGACCTTAGCGTTCACGAGGACAACCTTCTCTCGTTTCTGTGCTCTAGGGCAAGCTCTTGAGGAGCGGCGGTGGCAGATCAACCTTCTCTCGTCTCTGTGCTCCAGGGCAACCCAGGCCGGCGCGTGGTCTGGTACCTTCCTCATGCTGGCGGCCGGACCCCCGATCTCATGCCGCCTACGACGCCGGCCAAGCGGAGGCAAACGCGCCTTTGCCCACGGCTGGCCTCAGGTCGAGGCGGCGCGTAAGGTGTCCGCTTAGCCATGCAGATGGAGGCGGCGCTGGCGTAGGTTTGGGCGTCCAGCGCTGATGCTATGCCATACATTGACTTCCTGCGCCTCTGCTGTGACGCCGCCAGGCCAGACGCGAGCCCCTTCATCGTGCAGCTGAGCCGAACGCAGGCTGCTCCATCGCACGCGCGCTCGACGAGTCCAGATCCGTCACCTTGCTCGGTAAGACCTTCCTCATGCCCGATATGGTACGATTGTCACCTCCATGTTCTTATCAACCATTTTGGCCACGTGGATGCAGAGTTAGTGGTTGGATGCAGCAAACACATGCTTATTGAAATCACTCCACGGCCTACTGACAGCTTTGGTTGTTGTTTCACCTAGGTAAGCAGAAGTCGCATTAAGCTACTTTCAGTAGTTGGTTAGCATGAGTGATTCAGAAACTGATTTTGTTCTCTATGTTTTTTTACATTCCACTTAAATATTAATTGTCGTAGTCTCCTAATTACAAATGGTTACTTATTTCATGAAAAGAAAATAAGTTAATTCTTTTTACATGTATTATTGTTATGCTTTATTCATGAATCATGTTTCACTGTTTGATTAGTTCTTCAATTAAATCGAACATCTCAGTTCTGACAATGGAGTGGGAGGTGCAAGGATTGTCCTCCTTTGTCGATGAAATCGAACAATTCAAAATCACAGTGTGAGGACCCATTGATTTAATTGCCCAGTTATTTGATTAATTTATTTTTTACTAGCATTCTCCTTTCAACTTGTAATTTGAACTTCATGGTTTTGCAGGATTGAGATGCTACTGAATTCGGACCATGTTCAGAAGTGCCAAAATTGATGGAAAGTCTAATCAAGCATCACTTTTTTTTCTGGTGCCTTTCTACTAGGCCACATGATGCTGATGAATGAACTACATCTCATGAAAGAAATTTCAAGTTCATTTTTTTGACCAAAGATAGCATGATGTGTCTTTCTCCGAGGGCCCCTCGGCCATGTAGATGATCTTCAGCATCCAAGAGGAGGAGCTCTGGATTGATAGCTGGTTGGATGGCATGATGCGCCTTTAGCTGAGCCCCCTGCGTGCCTCCATCTCTGTGCTCCCAGTCCCATCACCGATCCAATATATTATTTTCTAATGCTTCATATCAGTATACTGTTGTTTTTAATGCTTCAACTTTAGATGATTCATATCAGTATATTGTTGTTTTAGTTTTGGGCATAGAAGTTTGGGTCGTATTGTCTCCACTATATTCTGTAACTCACAAAGCTTTAAGTAAAACTATCATTTACTTATATGACAATATGAGCCTATATTGTAGTACTATGAACAGCCTTTTAAGAATGATTTTTATCACTGTTAGTGTATATTTTGCTTATTCTATATTTTTTATGGCACTTATTCCATAGTATACACATCTCCTGTGATCAGATCATTAGCAGATCCTTGATTTCACATTCTTCAACAACTGTTGCAGCCAGAGGGTTGGGATGATGAGGAAGATGGTGAATGGACAGCCCGACCATTCCTAACCCAGAGTAGAAAGGACCATGGAAGCAAAAAGGTATGAACATGATGAAGTGGCTAAATTATGCTAGACAAGCTGCAGTGACATGAGTTGATCATTGTATTGTTCGGAAAATCAATAACCCTGACTACAAGGGCAAGTGGAAGGCCCCTTTGATTAACAACCCAGGTATATTTACTTTCAATTTTGAGCAGAGGCAATTTCACCTGAGGCTAACCCTGCTGTCCATTTCAACTTTTATTTATGCTTATTTTAAAAGTTCATATGCATTTGTTTATTGATGTGTGCAGAATTCAAGAACGATCCTTACATCTACACTTTTGACAGTTTGAAGCACATTGGCATTATTGATTTACTCCATGAACATAATGACTTTCTTAGTTATGTTGTTTGATGCCTCACTAATTTTCATTCTCTATCAGGAACTTTGTTCGACAACATTCTGATAACTGATGATCCTATCATCCGAAACAAAATCAAATGTACTTAGTTCAGTATTAACCTGCAATGTGGCTGTGAGCACGCCTAAGGGCAGCAGCGACCAGCGCGGGTGCAGCGCAACGAGTGCTGATTTTTGCTCCTCGCTGATGGTACAATGGATCATGCCCATCATGTTTCATAGGGATGGTTCTTGTGATAGTTATACAAGTTCTTTTATGGTAAGTTTTTATTGATTATCTGTAGGGATAATAATTTGGTCATCATAGAATGGAAGTTTGACCAGCTTTAAAATTAGCCGACAAAAGTGTGTTATGGCTAAACACATAAGTGCACTCAGTTGATTGGCAGCTATGAGGACGGCCTCTGAATGTTGGGGAGCTTGAAGACCTACTGAAGACATTTTGCTGCCAATGCGTGTGCTCTTGCATTGCCTTTTTGGCTGCCGATTTGGCGTTGCTGGGTGCAGTAAGAGTGTTGGCTGCCTTGGTGGAAATATGTAGCCAGAACATGCGATCTCTTCTTGTGTGAATCATAAATATATCTTAGTGATGCTTAATAACTTGACATATATTATTTGATTTATCCGGTTATTTGGTTGATCAAGCTTTGTTGATGTGAATTCCAATACTCCGTATTTTTTTTTTGACACTGTCCATTCAATCTTTGGAATGGACATTCAATAGTATAGACAGTGCAAATCTTGACATTCAATAATACAGGATGTTTAAAGACTTGGAATGCACCAAGGTAAATTAGGGCTCCTGATTTGATTTAAGTACATTGGCTCTGTTCGCTTCTCTTATAATCTGTCTTTTTCAGCTTGTTTTTTCAGTCGGAACAGTGTTTTTCTCTCACAACAAATCAGTCAGAACAGTGTTTCGGCTTGTTTTTTCAGCGAAGCAAACGGAACCATTATTCCTCATCTACTACTTTTAGTTTCTTTCGAAGGAATTCAGAGATAATGTCACTGCTCCAAGAAAATAACATTGTAATCCAATAGTTAATTCAGAGAGATTGTCACTGCTCCGTGATTTTTTTTTTGCATATGACATAGATGGGTAACTAAATCAGAGTTACCATCGCTTGCAATAATCATACATATGATTTACCTATTTGTATATATCGGAGATAGTGAATTTTGCCATAGACATTCAAGTGAATACATTATTCTACAGTATATGTTTGCGTGAAATAGATCTAAAGCAACACATATTTATACGGTGAGTAACATACTTTGTTTTAAGGTGTTGTGAGAGATTTTTCAAGGCACACAATATTACCATGTGACACGCACTAATATTTAGATATATACTCGAATCTGTGTACACGATGGTACGGAGATGTGGTGGAACTTATTCGTTGATTTATTGGCGCACGAAAGAAATGGATATCGGAGATTTCTTTCTGCAGATATAAAACATTATCTTAGCAAATCACGGAAAGGTGTATACTGTAAAGCTTGTGAGCCTGCGACGCCGTGATTTTCGTGACTGTATTAATTTCACAAACTTTATTTTTTGGATTAAATTTTACTTTAATATCAGTATTTAATTTTACAGTATCGTTATCTTATCGTACGATCTGTGTGTTTTTAATATAAAAGTTTAGCTGTCCCGTAACAACGTACGGACACGCTAACCGGTGACTTGATATAATATTACAAAATCAAGAGGAACAAGACGACTAGTTGTATGTAAACTTGTTAAACTGTAAGATGAATCTAGGCACGACACTTCAAAATGTGAAAAGTATATTGATGGTTAGAGGTAAGTTCTTTTCTTTTGTTTTTCTTTGCTGGGGGGTAGAGGTATTAGTTGGACTTCGAATCTATACACGGGACTTTGTGTCTTGGAGAGGCGATCGTGCCAAGTACTGCTTTCGCCTTTTGACTTGTCCAGCATATCAAGTACTCCCCGACCGTACTACTTCTCAGCGGCCCCGTTCGCTGGTCTGAACTTTGGCTGAAACTGGCTAAAAAACACTGTTCCGGCTGAATTGTTGTAAGAGAAAAACACTGTTCCTGCTGAAAAAACAAGCCGAACAAACCAAATTTAAGACAAGCGAAGCATCGTGTCAACTTTGGTGTCACATTGCCACAACGGTAACCGATCCAGAACACAAAGGAACACAAACAAGAGCTTGCAGCAAGATTCCTCCAACCCTGTGTCAAAATGTAACCACACGCAACCAACTCACTCTCTCCCGTTAGCCTTCAGAATCAGACATGTCACCTATACGCCTATACATCAGGCTCATAGCTCCAAGCCTCCAAGCAGCAAGATCAGCTTCAGCCCTGTGCATCAGCAGCGATCCTGACGTTGAGCCTCCGGAGCCAGACGGAGTGGAGGATCATGTGGAACGCGTCGTACCGGCGCGGCGGTCCGCCGTGCACCATGAAGTGCCGGCGCACCATCCTCACCCGGCGCTGCATCCGGATGTACTGCCGCGGCGACACGCCCGACAGGATCTCCTTGAGCCGGGGGACGTCCGCGACGCGGACCCTTACCGCGAAGGCGTCCCAGTTGAGCACGTCGGCGAACGGCAGCGCGTACTCGCCGTCGTCCACCACGACGGGGACGCACTCCAGGTACAGCGCCTCCGCCAGCCGCGGCGACGCCACCTCGTACCCGCCGGGGCACAGGCAGAAGCGGCTGTGCCGCATCATGTCCGTGTACGACGCGCCGCCGCGGGGTAGGTACTCGCTCACCCGCACGCCGTTGGGGTCGTCGTCGTCCCGCCCGCGGCTCCCGGGGCCCCAGTGCGCCAGAAGCGCCGGGCGGACGGGACCATGGTTCCCGCCCGCGAAGAAAGCCAGGATCGGCCGCCGCGACGCCGAAGGCCCGCCCACCTGCCGCTCCACGGCGTCGCTCCGCAGGTTGATCTCCGGCAGCGACACGTCCTTGGTCGGGTTGAACCCCTCCGACGTGTTGGCGTTGCACAGCACCCGGATCGAGTTGCCGAACAGCTGCGCGTTCGCCGACGACACGTACGGCCCCTGCAGATGAGTAGATGACAGTAGATACAAAAGGTTGCCAAGTTCAGCAAATTTTCTTCAAATGGCAACTCAAATTGGCGAGCACTCGTGCCTGCTAGATGCATGCTTTTACCCAGTCATGGCAGGAGAGCATGAAGTGGTCGGCGCCGGCGCTGCGGTTCCAGAAGGGGTACTTGGAGGAGAGCACGCGGAGGTAGTCGGCGACGGTGCGCTTGAGCGGGGCCATGTCGTGGGAGCCGGGCTCGTAGACCGTCTTCACCATCTTGACGACGCTGAACGGGAGGAAGAAGACGTGGGCGCGAGCGGGGTCCCTGGTCCGCAGCCGGCTCTCCATCTCCATGGCGTGGATGAACCTGCCCTCCGTCGAGTAGATGCTGCGGCACGGCCCGTCGTGGAACACCGGCGGCTCGCCTTCCTCGTACACGTACACCTTCAACTGCTTCTCCATTTCCAGGTAGCTCCTGTGTACATGTCAAGTACAGCAAAATAGGTTCAGACATTCAGAATAATCAGTGTCACTGCAAACGTTGGTGTTCAGGCATTCAGAATAACTACGTTCAGACATTTCCAGGTAGCTCCACGAGTATCACATTTGTTGATGTTTCGACAGGAATTACCTACCTGTGAAATGCATAGGCATTCCTGTACACTGGTCCCATTGGCACGTAATCCTTGTCAGCCAACGGAGATCTCTTGTCCTTGCTCCGGATCGCTTCCATTATCGCCGACCGAGCTTTCGCAAGACCAAATTCTAATCGCTCCAGTTTCACGTCTCTGCTCCTCTGAACTTGCGGCGTCGCTTGGACCACTTCATCTGAGATCCCCTGTAACAAAAGGAAAAAGGGTCTAATAAGTAACTCATCGATCATCATGAGGGACGACGCTCAATTGAAATTTCAAACCAGTTCACTACTTCCTCGTTTGATCTGCGGTGATCACAGACTGTTATTTCCTACAGTCTACGGGCGTCACAAACATGCAACTTCAGGGACAGATATGGAGTACTTGTGACAGTTTCTGACAGAAACATCAAAAGCTAGCTTCCTTTCTTTATGAATTACGATCATCTCAATTCATGAACACTTCAATTACACAAGTAATAAAAAAATGTGTAGTACAGCAGAAATTGAGCCCCCTGTCAGCAGGACTGTTCTCCTGGGTCCCCAATTGATCTTGAGAGTGCAGAAGAGCTGAGAGCCCCAGGTTACATGCTCTGAGGTCAATTCCCCGAAAGGGACGCACCTGTCTTGGCTTGCTCCTTAAACTTGGCAACCAATAACATATTGCCTTCTCCAAAATTCGTAGGACACGGAGGACAACTACACGTCACTGGTGGGGAACACGTGTTCTGTTTTCGATTTGGTAAATAACTAAATATATGTTCATGAATGATGTTTTGCTGCACAAATGTATGATTAATTTTCTCACTGCTGGCGCATGATTGCAGCCGTTCGAGCTCGCAACACCAATAGTTGAATCATGATTGAACATTTGAACTGGTGTCAGAAAACCTACCCATGAATTCGATCATTCGAAGGTGAACTGAACTGAGGAGTACATGAAGTAAGATGATATATGCTCTGCCCAAAAGGTGGCATGATGAGAAGCCCCCCTACCGATCCTGGGCACGTGGAGTCCCCCTAAGTCATCCCTTAAAATTTTATGCATATATGTATTAGGTAGGAGAGACTAAGGTTAAGAGAAGATAAAAAAGCCTCTATTCTTTTGTTCAGCCTCCCTAAATTTTTTTCTGGCCTCGTCCCTGGTAGTGAGTAGTCCTACTAGATACGCCATGAATTCTCGTGTGTAAAACAAGTGAATTCAGCTTGCGTGTCAAGTCAGCAATAATAAAAATTAGTTACAAGTTCAGTTGTGATTAATGGCCATCCTAAACAGAGATTTTTGCAAGACATTCCTCCAGTAGTTGCACAATTAATCAGCTAAGTACTACTACTACAGTAGTGTTCATGCAAGTATGGCATTTCCTCTAGAAAAACAGTGCACCTCAAGAATGAACAGAGGATGTGCTAATATCATCAAAGAGATAATAATATATCTCTCAAGTCTCAAATGATTAAATGAACTAATCAGATAGTAGAAAACAGAAGAAAATAGTGACATCATTAATTAGAGAGACGAGCTGCATACCGTTACTGGAGACACCGCCGGAGCCAGCTGTGCGGCGGGCGCCGGTGCCGGTGCAGGTGGCGGTGGCGTGACGGAGATCTGATGAGGCGGCGGCGCTCCATAGCCGGAGCTGGAGTTGTTGACCAAGGACAGGAATCCATCGTGATCACCACCCTGACCCCGGACCTCCTCGTGCACCTCCGTGCTGGTGCTGTTCCTGCCGCCGCCGCCGCCGCCGCCGCCGTCGGAGTAGTACGAGCTGGCGCTGGCCAAGAGGTGCTCACCGCCAACTCCTCCGGCACTCGTCAAGGACGAGGAGAAGGATGATGAGGGGGCGGACGACGGCGACGACGACAGGAACCAGCTGGAAGCTTGTTGCGTCCTGGGGTCCCAGCAGGCAGCCACCACCAGGAAGGTCACGAGCGCGAGTAGGCAGGCCGCCAAGGCCCTGCCGTGTCCATGGCGGCCATGCAGGCACGGCAAGCAAGGAGCCGCGGAGGTGGTGGCGCGCATGGCTAGCTGGTTTGGCTGGTGGCCTAGGTGTCAAGGCAAGGACGACGATGCCTCCATCACAAGAAAGCTAGCTTGCTTGACACCAGAGCTAGCTTCTCCTTGCCTGGCGGTTGCATGCGGCGGCAAGCTTAGGACATGTTCATATGAGGATGGCATGGCATGCTCTTGTGCGAGGGCAGCCGATGATGCTTGCCATGGCGAGGAAGAAAAGCATGTGTGTGAGCTGCGTTTGCCGAGATGGCCCGATCGATGCTCGATGGTGACTGGAAATTGATTAGATCATAGATGGAGTGGAGAAACAGGGGACCCACAGGATCGATGGGGGCAATATTTTAAGGTTATAAGTTGGTCAACAGATAACAGTGACATATTTGCAGTTACGTCCTTCGGATTCTTAAATTTATCTTTTAGTTCTCATTGATATATACTTCCTCACCGTCGAACACGAAAAAGTACATAGTAGAACAGAGGAGGAGAAATCGCACTGAATTTTCATAAACAAAAGCCTCTAAAAATCCTATAGCAGCATATATTTGTATCCTAGCATCTAATACTACCAAATTAAAGGTAATTTAATGTCGAACTATTTGATTTTGTGAACACGTGTAGCTCAATGGTGATACGGATAACTAATTTAATTAGTTTATGTATGATGTATTGTGTCTTTAAAATGTGTCCAAATGTTGAATTTATAATACTAAGATGTTAGATTTCGTACCAAATTAAAGTTTTATTGTATCTCCACGAAGATAATTCCTCGGTACAAAAAATGTAGAGCCATGGAGATGTTAGATTTTGTGGAAAGACTTTCTATTTTTGACTAGCAATATCATATCTATACACAACATGTCACCCTATGTTTAGAAAGAAAAAATATATTCACTAATACAATATCATTATGAATCTAATAATTTGGCCAATAGGATGATTGATAATGTTATCCTTTTTTTTGCGCATATGAAGTCTCTTCTTTGACACCCAAAAATGACAATGGTGTTTTGTAAACAATGTTTTTTTTCTCAAATACGCAAGAGGTTTACGCAGCATTGTATTAAGGTCGAGAAAATGTTCTTACAACGACGCGACGTATACCAGCGCACTAGGGAGGACAAGGGATGTTACAATTAGGACCAACCTCCCTAGCAAAGGGTGTTTTGTTAACAATGTTAGCAACTTAGTATATGCGAAATCATGAGGCGAGCGCTATGATTGTGAGTACCCAATTCGAACCAGAAACTTGTACATGTTCACTGAATTCTCTTATATATATATATATATTTTGGAATATAAAATGCTCAATATATATGTCGGGGCATGCTACATAATAGTTGATGAAAAAGTGATGGTCCTGTGTATATTTCACCCTCCTTGAAAGAGTGAAGGTGGATTTAATGCGATATATACCTTGACTTCGAGCTAATAAACGACCAATAATTCGAAACGATCCACTCAGCTGCAGATAAGTACCAGTACCTTGCTTTCTCGTTAAGGCGACCCATAGTGACTTGTTTATATATATATATATTTCTGGAGCTGACCATAGAATAACTTATTCTATAGTCAACTTGATTTACGATAATATTTGTACCAATTTACGATAACATAAATATGCATTTACGATACTCGTGTTACTATAACTCACGGTGATATTTACCATAATGTTATAGTAAATCACTTAGTAAGGAGTTATTATAGTCTGGTAAATTAACATGGTAATTATCGTAACTCAAAGTGGCCACATAATAAGTTATTCTATGGCCAGCTGCAGAATAATATATATATATATATATATATATATATATATATATATATATATATATATATATATATATATTATCAACAGATACCGTACGTAGCACGATACGTAGCCTGTTTGTTTCGGCTAAAACGATCGTAGATTATTACTGCTAACTAATTTGATGTGAGAGAAAAATACTATTCTGACTTATAATCCACACCATCGTTTACGAACGAACGAAGGCTCACGGTGCATCACAAATCTTAGACGTACGTACGTACTGTGTTGACAATAACTGCAGCAGCATTTTGGAAAGATCCGTTACGGGCTTTCAGGGAGAGCAACTATTGGTGCAAGAGGCGCCCACCTTTTTTATGGCTTCAGGGTCCGGTTTAGTTACGAAAAATTTTCACCCTAAACTATCATATCAAATCTTGTGGCACGTGCACGGAGTATTAAATATAGACAAAAAAAAAACTAATTGCACAGTTTGATTGAAAATCGCGAGACGAATGTTTTAAGACTAATTAGTCATAAGAGCTACAGTAACTAACATGCGCTAATGATGGATTAATTAGGCTTAATAAATTCGTCTCGCAGTTTCCAGACGAGCTACGTAATTAGTTTTTTTATTAGTATTCAAAACTCTCTTCCGACATCCCCGAAACATCCGATGTGGTATCAAAATTTTTCATTTCGCGAACTACACACACCCCAAATAATGATGCCACAGCAGTAGACTCGTCGTACAGCTAGCCTAAAGGAACGACTCCAGTTGTTAGCTGTGCGTACTACGTCTACGATTGTGTTTTGATCCCAAACAAGTAGTAGCTGACACATCTGGATATAAATAGCAAATTAGCAATGCATGCTGCATGGTGGTGCGCAAAGCCTGCATGTCCGGCATCGCGCCTTGCGAATATATACGCGATAACCCTGGGGGCCAATGCGCGAAAGACGCAGGCGTGCGCGTCACGTGTGATCGCCACGCGATGATGCATCAATCGTGAGGCCAGAGCCAGACGCTTTTCTTGGGCTCCCGCTCCCCTTCCTGCACCTGCAATGCAATTCTGCGTGCCTGCCTGCCTCTACTCTACGGACGACGTGCCAGATCAGGCTGCCACGCCGGCGGGGTGTCGGTCCAAGAGGCGTCCGTCGACGAGGGGTGCGAGCGGACACGTGGAACCGCGGCCCTCGGCGGGACGGACACGTGACTAGTACGTGAGCCAGGGCCCGTCTTCCAATGCGTGCGGCCAGATAGACGTATCTCTCCCCGGGAACGGAGCCTCCAATGCGGATGCGGTGGATTGCGGACGCTGGACGCAGATGTGCTTCTGATCTTGGGGGACCACGGGAGGAAGCTACACGCGGCGGCGCTGGGATCTCAGCCGAAGCCGCCGTGGCGTCGCGTGGCGACTGGCGAGGGGAATGGGATCGGGGAAGCCGACGATCGTCTCCAGTCCTGTTAGCACAGTACCTTTTCAGTCCACAAACAGTATTTATTTTTCTTTCAGAACAAATCAGCCAACAATACTCTCAACGTAGCGAACAGGGCATCCGTCTCCTCCGTATCGGGAAGCTACACGCGGCGGCGCTGGGATCTCAGCCGAAGCCGCCGTGGCGTCGCGTGGCGACTGGCGAGGGGAATGGGATCGGGGAAGCCGACGATTGTCTCCCGTCCTGTTAGCACAGTATTTTTCAGTCCATGTGATAAATCAGTCAACAGTATAGCGAAGAGGGCATCCGTCTCCTCCGTATCGGAGTCGGAGACGTGACGTGGGACCCGTCTTCGGATGGATTGCGGATCGGATCGAAATCTATCCGTCCACGGTCCACCGAGGAGGATGGGGTACCCGACCCGACAGATGCACACGTGTTGCCAAGTTGCTGCGATTGGTTCCCGGCTTCCCGGGCGTGTGTCGGCAACAGAGGCCATGGCACGTCACAGCGACGGCTAAGGCACGATTGCAGATGCTTGTACTTTCATGGTATTGTGCCTTCAGATGGTACTGTATCTCTACCCATACTTCGTCCCCGTTTGGCACAGCTCCTGGGTGCTCCGGCTTCACACTGTAGCAAGAAAGATGGTGGAGCCCGGAATTGTGGCTTCACCGGCTCTTCTCTTGCTAGTTCATTTTCCGCCAAGGAATCAAAATAGCTTTTGCTACAGTGCCATACAGTGTCGCTACAGTATTTTTGAAGGAGGAATCTGAGCCCTGCCAAAGAGGGCGTTCATAAAGTAATTGAACACTTTATCAAATTAAAATGCATAATGTAAACAGTATGTCTAGTTTGAAAAGTAATGGTTTTATAATGCCTTGAAAAAATGTCTCCATCATCTTATGACTTTTTTTTTCAGGGAACAGGGGGCCTCTACTGAAATTTTATTAAGATGTAACCAAGGAGATTACAATGCAAAACAGGATTACAGAACAGCCAAACAAAAAAGGAAAAGGAAAAGAGCGGAGCTCCAGAAAGGAGCTCATGAAACAAAAAAACTGACAAAGAAGATCATGATAATTACACAACTTGATCTAGCCATGATTCAATAGCGGGGAAGTATTTTTTTTCTTGGCTCTCCACAAGAGTTGCCCAAAGATGCTTTTGAAGATCTCTAAACAGCGTAAACTGCTAGCAAGAATTCCTCTGAAGATGGCATCGTTTCTGACTGTCCAAAGGTTTAGCACATGATGACAATTATCTCCATGAAAAAGCTAACATTAAGCTGCAATCTAAAGCTCTCAAGTCTTTGGATAGGATCAGGAGCACTATTGACGGTTAGTCCAATAAGGCCCCAACAATCCCTAGCTAGGTCACTGTTGGGAGGTACGACCCCAGATACCCACGACAGACTATATGGGCTGCGCTCTCAGGGGCGATCCAGCCCACAAGACAAAGACCTACGGTGCACGGCACTGCTCGGCGTGCACCGCAAGACATCAAGGGCGATATCCTAAAGATACTACGAGATCTGTTAGGATACGTTCGATCCCATGATTCCTGTAATTTGTTATTACTTTCCGGTTATCTCTAAGATTTAATCGACTTATAACCCTGCCCCCCCAAACTATATGAGGCAGGCAGGGACCCCCTCAAAACACACGCAACACTATACGAAGCCAATACAATCCAACAGACCACAGGAGTAGGGTATTACGTCGCGCTGATGGCCCGAACCTGTCTAACTCTTGTGTCTCTGTTGCCTTCTTGTTCTTGATTACACGTATCTTTGCCGATCAATCTACCTTCGTGGGATACCCCT